TGCTTGTAGAAATACTGTCTTTTTAGAAAATGCTATAAAAACCTCCGGCTTTGACTGCTCGGGGTCCTTGTTGAGACCCGCTGTGTCGGGCTAACACTTGGACCCCAGCTAGCTGGTTCCTGAATAAATTCCTCTTGCTTGTTGCATCAAGAGATGCCTTTCGTGAGTGATTTGGGGCGGCGTCCTCCTCTGGGAGAATCCAACAGATAATCTTTACCAAAGTCAATTATTCAATTAATATTTGCAGAATGATTGCCCAATGTTTTGCCATCCCTCTAGATTTAACATAGGACCAAAACTGCAAGAGCATTCAGAATGGCATATACTAATTACCACTTATTCCAAATGACCAAGACTATCAGGCAGAATGTACCAAAGTTTGGATACACCACCACCCCAAAACCCTATATTGAAAAAGAAAAAAGACTCAAAAGAACATCCTGTTTTTCATGTTACAATTTTACCGACAATCACTAAGGCAGAAAGAGCTCAGAACTTGCACAGATGGTTCTGAATAATGCTCAATTATTAATCCTCAAAGAACCAATGAGACAATAACTCTCAACTTTCCTCCAACAAGTGCAGAAGCCTATGACAAACCCTTGAGAAGCCCAGGATGTGTGAGTTCAGTCAGGTTTTACCGATACTAGCAATGGGAATTCCCAGCTTCCTCTTAGCCTGGGAGGATAACTAAACACTGGAGGATCTTTAGGAACTAAGGGAGTATCTCTGCACATAACAACCTGTGGGTAAAATCGTAACATTTCCAGAATATCTTGCCTGGCTTTAGTACATCTGCATATCCTCAGTGGTGGAGTTCATCTCCATATCAGTGGGTAATTACCTGGGCAACCTAGGGCGTGTCTGAACCTGAAGGGTAAAGGGGAGGAGGCTCTCTGGCTTGCTTGCTGACTTCTTCCAGAGCAAAGAAAGACGGCCCGGGACTGCAGTTTGTGAATAATAAACGGGTTTTAAACTTTATTTGTCCCTTTGACTGATTTCGGTTTTTAGAGGTATTTTGCCCCGGGATTTCCTTTTCCCGGAGAGAACCCAAGTGCCAAGGCAGGAACCGCAGAACCTGAGTAACAGCAGTTTATTCAACAAACATTGCAGACTCTTGCTAGATAGAATTAAGAATCAGCTACAGAACCCAAAGTGATAGATATTTCAGAAACTGGAACCATTCAGTGCAATACTTGTAAACCTTGAAGCAAACTAGCAAATGATAACAGTAAAGCAATGTGATTTCTGTGACTATTGAAAAGATGATTATTAGGTTCACAGTCATCATCATAGCTCTTCTGCATCTGAAAAGACGTAACTAAGGTGGAATGCAGGAAATAGAAAAACCAAAGGGATGGCAGGGGAACAGCACAAACCCTGTACATGAAAGTTCGTAACAGCTTTATTTGCAACAGCCTAATTTAGGAACAGTATCTTTCAATTGGCAAATAGTTAAATAAAATCTCATACATTTATACATCGGAATCCTACTTGGTAATAAAAAGGGAGGCTATTGATACATGAAGCCACCTGGATGGATGTCAAGGCATAATGTTTAGTGGAAAAAGCCAGTCTCGAAATGTCACAGTATTCCACTTATAAAACATTTTCGAAATAATAAAACTAGATATGGAGAATGGATTAGTTATCCAGAAGTGGGTGGAAGTGACCATAAGGAGTCCTTTGCTGGTGGTGGAAGAGTTTTGAATCAGCATTGCGGTGATAGACACATGAATCTACACGCTGGATAAAATTGCATAGGGTTACCCCCCCGACCCCACCTCACAAAAGAGTACATGTAAAACCTGGTAAATAGTTACTGTTTTGCCAATGTCAATCACTTGACTTTGAGAGTATAATTTCTAGGTTGTCACCATGAGGGAGAACTGGGTTCAAGGAACTCTAGGGACGCTTTGGCAGCTTGTGAATCTACTTACTTCAACAAGGTAAAAAAGCTGTGACAATTCTTCAGTAGTTGCTACCCTGTATTGCTTGGTACTCTGTGGCTTGCTTAACAAATCAATGTGGTCTTTTTTCATAAATAGCAGTTTTTTGCTTTCTTCTGGCTGTTCTAGTGGTGACATGTCCATTGGGCTGAGGTTTGGTTCATTTATGTTGGAATGTGATTTTGTAGATATTGCTGCCTCTACCTCAAAAGTAAATTGAGTTTCAAAACTGGTATTTGTAATCTCACATTTTCCAATGTGTGAGGCTGAGCTAACCAATGCCCTTTAGGGTAGTGTGGTTGGTACATCATAAGGGCATGATGATAATGATCTTTGTTTTGAACATTCTATTTATTCCAAGGACATCATTTACATTTTCCTAATGCTTCCATGTAACTAGCTCAGCAACTTTTTTTACGAAATAAAAATCTAGGATTTATCCCACTTTTATTTCTGGCACTTGCATATAATCCTTGTCTACCATTAAGAGTGCAACTTTGCTGGAATTCATTGCACCAAGCCCAGGAAAGGACTATAACCCTCCATCCTCTCTGTCCTCCAAATGAGAACAGAGCATTAGCCCATGAGAATTCATATCGCTTTCTTCTGTAATTCTGCATTGTTTATACTGTTAAAAGAGATAACAGACCCCCACCCCACAACGGAATCACTTGTGCCAAGCCTATGTCACCAAGGTTAGTGCTTAACACCTAGCTTAATTGTAGTTTCAACCTCTTTCAGGAATGTAATCTTAAAGCAGTAAATAAATCCGGAATTTCCGGGTCAGCAGTGGTGAGGTAATCTGATAGACCCCTTTCCATCACCCAGAGAAAGATGAGGTAATTTGCTCTGTCCTTGTCTCTGCCCTCTTCTGCCTATTCCCATTCTGTTATGGGTAAAATTGTAACATTTCCAGAATATCTCGCCTGACTTTAGTATATCTGCATATCAATAGGCGTTCAGTGTCGGAAAGAAGTATGACTTTAGTGCATTTACATCATTTCTCAGGGGTGGAGAGAAGTTTGCATATCAATGAGTAATTTACCTGGGCAAGGAGGGCTTATTTGTACCTGAGAGGGGAGGGGAGGGCCCGGTTGTGGCTTCTGCTGGAGCAGGAAAGAGAGAAACGGCCCCAAACTGCAGTTTGTGAGCAATAAACGGGTTTTAAACTTCATTGCTCCCTTTGACTGATTTCGGTTTTTAGAGGTATTTTGCCCCGGGATTTCCTCTCCCCAGACTTACAGTGACCATATCATGCAGGGTACAGACATAACTCCCTTTGACTGATTTCGGTTTTTAGAGGTATTTTGCCCCGGGATTTCCTCTCCCCAGACTTACAGTGACCATATCATGCAGGGTACAGACATATTCTGCAGTTTTCAGCTAGTTGCAGCAACAAGCTCTGAATTCCTAGTCTGCTCAACAGTCAGCTGTCATTCCAGGTCCTGTATGTGGGGCAGTAATGCTCTGCCCTGCTGTGCCACTGGCCACACTGCTGGGTGTCCATTGCTGGTGGTACTGCTTGAAGCTGATACCTGGTGAAACACATGTTCTGGGACCAGATCTGTTCCACCTGGGTCCTTAATCTTGTGTGTGCAGACACCTTCACTTTTTATAAGGATTGCTCAAGGATCAGTACTTTTATTAGACTTCATTACACCATTTCTGGATGCCTAGCAAATTTCAGCTGTTTTAACGACATAGAATAACTCAAATTTTTCAATTGCCTCCCTTGACCCTAGCGCTTGTCACCTAGACAGGATTACATTTCCAAAGCTGGGGGCCATCTAAGGATGCAACATTTATTGTCGCTGCATAAAGTACAAGCTACTTAAAACATGGAACACCTAACCTTTCGACGAAACCTTCCCCCCGTTGAGAAGGCACTTAAAGCAGCTCTGTACTAAACTTTAGAACCGCTTTTAGCACTCTCGTCCATTAATAGCAGCTGGGATGTAAAGATCCCGTGCCAGCCTTGACTAAATACAGCACAAAACGCTTCAGAGGAAAGGGGTTAAGTCTGCCACTGGAGATTGGTAAAAAGCCTTGCGTGTGGTGTGGAGGTCAGGGAAGCAGTGTGCTGGGTACCCAGAGAACTGGAGCAATCCCAACGCAGCTGCTTTCCTGCTGGCACCACTGCACTTCCGATGGGTATACTTAAGTTAGAGAAAAACTTCTACACGCCGTAGAAGCAGCTCTTCGTAGACACTTTAGGTGGCTCTTAAAAGAGCCTTTGTTTGGAGACGGTACTTTTACAGTTTACGCTCTCTCCCCACGGATGCGGCGCGCCAGCTGGATGTCCTTGGGCATGATGGTGACACGCTTGGCATGGATGGCACACAGGTTGGTGTCCTCGAAGAGCCCCACCAGGTAGGCCTCGCACGCCTCCTGCAGCGCCATCACGGCCGAGCTCTGGAAGCGCAGATCGGTCTTGAAGTCCTGCGCGATCTCGCGCACCAGCCGCTGGAACGGCAGCTTCCGGATCAGCAGCTCGGTAGACTTCTGGTAGCGGCGGATCTCGCGCAGCGCCACCGTGCCGGGCCGGTAGCGGTGGGGCTTCTTCACGCCGCCCGTGGCCGGCGCGCTCTTGCGGGCCGCCTTGGTGGCCAGCTGCTTGCGCGGGGCCTTGCCGCCGGTAGATTTGCGAGCTGTTTGCTTTGTACGCGCCATGACGAAAAACTCCAAACCTTACTCACCTCCAGATCCGCAGCACTGCTGGCTCGTATTTATGAAGGACAAGTCCTCCTGATTGGTCCGTTTCTTCAAATTCCGCGCCGTGAATTAAATAACTTACAAGCCTTGTGATTGGCTATCAGATCGTTTTGTAAAATCTTGATCTTTTGAAATGTTCTTTATGTCTTCTCACACTTCTGTTCTGTCCTTTATTCGACTTGTGTTTTATGATTTACAGGTACCGTCACTGGTTTTGTTCTAATCGCCTTCCTTGGGATTAAATCTGCGAAAGAGATGAAAATGAACGTGCTACAATACTTGAGCTGTTTCAAAATCTTTCGCGTGTGAACGTAATTGATCCAGCACAGTTTCGCCCTTTATACTTTAACAAAGCGTCTTTGAAGCGATTTTAGCATTACAAACACCGTATTCCACAATTCCGCAGTCCAACAAACGCTGGCATCACTTACTGACACTCGATTCTTAAAAGCCATACCGCTTTAGAAATGTGAGGATCCTATTGAAAAAGCTTAAACGTTGCCAAACGAGACCAAATTGGGAATGCCAGTGGCATACATTTGAAAACATTAAGACATTTAGCTGATTTCTACATTTTCTTTCCTAGGAACCCCTAACTGCAATTTAGTACTATAGTCATAATGTGCATCGGGCTTTTGTCTCTAGGTCTGGATTTAGCGGGAGAGAAGGTCCATAAATAGATACTGACAGGAAATTAATTTTTTGCAGTTTTGAAATTTTTTTTGGATGGTGGAAAAAAATCGTTTCCACTTAAAACCATTCAAAAGGTAGAATTCAAGTCTCCTTATTTGCATGAACTGTTTCTAATGGTCAATTTTATCCAATCAGGGATTGAGACGCATTGATCATTTGCATAGGAGCCCTACAAAATTAGGTCGCCCCACATATCTTCTTCCGTGCACTGTTTGGTATTATGCCTGAGTTTACCAAATCCTCTCCGGCGCCTAAGAAGGGCTCCAAGAAGGCGGTGACCAAGGCGCAGAATGACGGCAAGAAGCGCAAGCGCAAGCGCAGCCGCAAGGAGTGGTACTCGGTGTATGTGTACAAGGTGCTCAAGCAGGTCCACCCCGACACCGGCATCTCGCCTAAGGCCATGGGCATCATGAACTCGTTCGTCAAGGACATCTTCGAGCGCATCGCGGGCGAGGCGTCGCGCCTGGCGCATTACAAGCGCTCGACCATCACCTCCAGGGAGATACAGACAGCCCTGCGCCTGCTCCTGCCGGGGGAACTGGCCAAGCACGCCGTGTCCGAGGGCACCAAGGCCGTCACCAAGTACACCAGCTCCAAGTAACTTGCCATCAGAACCGGCGTTAACTACCCAAAGGCTCTTTTCAGAGTAGCTCCCACTTTTATATTGAGAGCTTAGCACTAACTGCTGATAGGATCAACTTACCCACAAAACTTAGCTAAAATGCCGTCTTGTGAAAACAAAGAAAGCAATTAAGATGCGTTAAGAATTTTTACAAGTGCTGTTACTTCGTCACAGCTCTGATCCTAGTCAGCTGTGAAACATACCTGGGTTATCCTATATTGAGCCTCCTTTAAAGACAAGTTCTAGAAAACTACATTTTGAGTCAAGTTAGTTGATATAATGTACAATTGCCACATGCTATGAGAAATGGTAAAGGTATCGGGAGCAAAAAGGGAAATTTGTCTTGATATACGTCAAACCTTTAAGCTAAGTGATTTAAAGCATTTTTGTCCCTTTGAAAACTATATATAGGATTAAGACAGGAGAGAAACCACAAAAATTTTAGGAAGAAGGCCTTTTATTTTGGGGTGGTATCTTTGGCAGGGGCAAAGAAATCAGGCAGTCTCCTTGAAGAGGCTAATAGGGATCACCACCTGATTACAACTTAAGATAAAAATTCTCAAAATGCCTCAGTATTAGTGTCTACCAGTCTTCTAGTTATGGCCCTCATTTTTTATTTCATGTACTGTCATGGGCACTTACTGAATCATGGAGTTAGGTTGGTGCTAGATCATATGTGATACTAGAATGTGTCTAAGAATCCTCTCTATGTGAAATGTTGAGTGGAAGGAGTTGATTCCATTTAAGAGCCATTAAGTGTCATAAGGTGACTGATACTAGGGAAAGACCAATGAGCAAGACGACCATTCCCTGTCATGGTGCTTAGTCTAAAGTGGATATTTAAACAGTAATCTCTCAAACTAACAGAAGGGGGAAGCATCAGCCTAAATGTCATGTTAGTTTTGCCAAAAATGGAAATGACTTAAAATTCTGGAAAGAAATCAACTAGCGAGGTGGCAAAGGAAGAAGACAGCAAGAGAGAGGAATCACAAAAGATGTGTGGAGTTCAAGTTTGTATTGATGGAATATAGTTAACAACAGGGGCTATATTATAGATTTACACTTTCATCATAGTTGGTTCATGAGGATATTATAGAAGTCCCACCGCTGCACCTTATTAAGGTCTTGCGGAAAAGTAGAAAGGAACACTATAATAGAAATTTTGTCCATTATCCCTCTAGGATTTTCTTAAAATGTGCACCTGTTATGGGTATTAGATACTCCCAGGAAGTGACAGATAACCTAAAATAGTCACAGGTTACATGAAATAAAAGTTATTTCTTGTGTAAAGCTCAAGCCTGGAAAGGGAGCTCCACTCAGGGAACCCAATATGATCCTTTCAAACAAATTGAAACAAATTTCAACCCACGTAGTAGGCCTTGAAACTCTCCAATGTTAAACATATTTCACTGCTCTTTTGTAGTTCTGTACGTTATTTCCTCCATGGGACTTTCAATTCTAGACGGCAGGGATCATGTCTGATTCACATCTGTGGTTTGCCTGAATAAGCCCTCCAGCCATAGCTATCATGTTCACATTCCATTCTGAAAGGAGAAAAGGGCACAGAAGCAGCCCACCAGTTACTGAACCCCTGAGGATGGTGTAACTCCACCTTTGCTCATATGCCATTGCCTAAAAATAGTGGCCATACTTAGCTACAAAAAAAAAAAAAAAAAAAAAAGATTGGGGAGTTCAGTTACTAAATAAAAAAGGAAAGCCAATTTCAGGCGACAACTATGTAGCAGTCCCTGCCACAGCTCATGCCTGAAGAAGTCAATGTAAGAGGAAAATTAGTAAGTTCTTCTGTCATTAGGATGACACTGGAGCTTCCTAATGCAACAAAAATAAACTGTAAATATTGGCAATAATTGCTTCAGTTGGGGAAAAAAGAAAACTATACAACTCTAGTTAGAATCAGATTTTCATTTTGAGGTGAACAGTGCCTGACACCACTGAGAGTGTAAATGTTGCTGTGTGCAATCAGCACAGGGCTTGGGAACCCAAGAAAATAACTTGAAAAATAGAGGGAGGCCTGCATGGGCAGATTCAAAGCCTAGGAATGAGGTCAGGCTGAGTTTGGAGTCCATTCACACCTTGCTGATTTTAATGCTCATTCAAAGTCCAACTCCGGTCTACAAACTCCAATCCTACCTGCCTCAGTCCTGTCTTTTATTATGGTGGATTTTATCAACTCATTCAGAAGACATACTTACTGATGTCAATATTCTTTATGCACATATACCCTCTGCCCCACCAGGCCCATAAGATTGTCTTGCCTTTTACTCTAAAAACCTCATCTCTCTAATATCAAGCTACTCTGCTATTTTCCTTAAGGCTTTTTACATTTGAAATGCCCACCTCATTCAACTGTGTCTACCATTCAAAGCACAAATGTGAACCAGACATGGTCCCTTTCATCTAGAACATGAAACATTGTCCTATAGAGGAAATAATAGAGTGCACAACTATAGAAGTGAGAACTGGATCTTGGGTTTAGGAAGACTAGGGTGAAGGTCTCCAGAGAAAAAGCAGAGCAAGATAATTAGTCAGAACAATGTAACAATGTGCAAAGAAGTCCCTATCAAAACTCTGCGTTGAGCATTACACAAAGTCAGTCACACTAATTCTCTAAGTACCAGACTAGGAATATAGACATCATCAGTGAGATCAGTTAGAGTTCAAAAGGCCGGAGAAACTTTGCCTGGAATGTTTGAGTGTTCTGCAGATAAAGAGAAATGTTTCAGCATAACCCGTGACTTCACTGTATCAATTAGATCATGACACGGTAAAATTTACCTTAGCCTGCTAAAAGGCCCACTTATTTTTAACTGTACCTATGTGCTGTTGTTGTGTCCAAAGTCGCAAATCCCAGAAGACCACCAAGGAGCTAACACTGATGCAAAAGCAAAGAGCCTTTATTCGAGCTAGCTCGAGCTCAATCTCTCATCTACACCAACACAGTGGCAAAATGCCAGAGAAAGACAGCGAGTTTCAATACCACAAAAGTTTTATGGGGTTCTAGGGCAGTTGGTGGGGTGATGGTCGTGGCTCTGGCTGATTGGCTGGAACTAGGGGTAGTTGGTGGGGTGATAGGTCGTGCTCTGGTCAATTGGCAGGGTCTAAGTGGGTGAGCTCCTTGCTGACTGGAGAGAGACCAAGCTCCGATTGGGTGAAATGGGATCCGGGTTCCGATTGGCTGAGGTAGGATCCGGGCCCCAATTGGCTAAAATAGAATCTGGGAGCTTGCCCTTTCACTGTGTTCCCTTCTCTAATCCTAATCAAGTAATCTGCAACCTAGGAAAAAGATTAATTTAGTAAGCAAGCCCAACTATAAACAGCCCAAATTAAGAAGATTCTTAACGCACTTCAGCAAACGGGCAACAACCCAGCCCACCTTGGGGACAGGCGGTCTTAATTGACATACTCCCAGAGGGAAACTGCTATCCTGAGAAAGAACCAGAGCAGCAAATTTATTACTCATCACAAATGCGCATTCTGGGATCACTCAGCAAGTTTGCACCCCTAGCCATTTACGCCCGTTCCTGAAAATCCTCAACCGCTCATAAAACCCCTAGACAGCGAGCCAAACCCGGACTCTCTTGTCCCCTCCTGGTGTGAGCGGGGAACTCTGTCCTCTCACTTTATCTCTAAATAAAAGCCTCTACCTTGCTCTCCTACCTTGGGTGTTTGCGAAGTTCATACTTTGACTCTGTGAACAAGAATTCCAGTGTTAGGAAAAGAGTATAAAACCTAAATGTGATTTATTCTCACTAGGATGTTTAAACATTTTAACAGTAAGGTATAAACAAAGGGCCACGTGATGGAAACTGCTCGGGCTGAGAGTGGAGGTGGGGGAATTGATAAGGGCCTGGCAATACCTGTTTGAATTTTTCAAACCTACCAATAATAAGACAAATGTGAAGGAAAGATACAACCGGCTTAGGCGACGTCCGGGAAAGAATGTGAACCCTGTAGTACTCAGCCAATGAGGAACCAGGGGAGGGACTCGCGTACTAGGAGATAAATTATTGGCGCCAAACTCCCCAGGTGTGCCTGCCCACCGGACACCCCATCTTGTAAGACCGTCATTAAAGCCTCGCTCTGCTGTTCTTTCTGTCTGCGAGTCCACTTATCACACCAGCATCAGAAGAGCAATGAAATATGTTTAAAATTGGAGAATTCTGAGGCCTACTAGCTAGGATGAAATTTGTTTCATTATTTACTAGCTGAATGACCTTGGGCATTATTTAGAACCATTCTCGTTTCTTCATCTGTAGACATAATACAGTAATTCTCATAGTGATGAGTTAACTTGCTCAAGTTCAGAGTGTGAGGGGTTGAAGCAGTTTCAGACATAAAAATAGGACATAAAGCTCTCTGTAAAGTTAGCCCCAGACCCTAGTCACGTACCAACTTCTGAGAAACTAAAGGAAAATATATAAATCCCATGAGAAACAGGATGCTCAACTAACTCCACGCTATTTTTGCTTCTGTACATTGTTTTGTTAGAGACCAGCAGTATCACACGTTTCCTGCAGCAGGTGAGCAAAACAGGATGCTTAAGGCCCCCGAGCATTAAACAAGGAATATAGCTTGCTGAATTTAGGCAAGGCAGAAAAGTTGCAAAAACTAAGCAAGATGTGGTAAAAGTGCTTAAAAGGATGTTATAACTGGGGCTTGGGCTGCACTTGGAGAGCTTGCTCCTCGGCAGACGCCGGCCGGCTAAAATAAGGCTCCCTTTTTATAATCTACTTTTCTTTGAGGACCTGTTTCCTTACTCCTGCCCTGGCATGCCTGATCTGAGACCCACAACAAGAGTTGGGCTTAACCCATAACTCTGACTTCTTTTACTGCTCCTACTACTATGATCAAAAAGGACAGAAGACTTATGCATAGCAATTTGAGAAGATAAGCAGGTTTTCTAAAGAGAATTAGAGCAAGGAAGGATATCTAAGATGACAGATATATGACACTAACTTTGGGGCACTAGTTTCACACAAACTACAAAGCTTCAGAGGTAGAGACACTGGCTACAATTTAATCTTTCTTCCTCCTGGACATTTATTTCTCAGCTTCCCATGTAGTTGTGTATGGCATAAGTCTCAGGAGAGGAAATCCCAGGGCAAAATACCTCTAAAAACTGAAATAAGTCAAAGGGAGAACTAAAGTTTAAAACCTGTTTCTTGCTTAAAACTGTACTCCGGGGCCTACTCTCTTTCCTGCTCAGGCAGAAAAGCAAAACAGAACCTCCCCTCACCGATCTGGTACAGATAAATCCTCTGCTGCCCAGGTAATTTCCCATTGATATGGAGATGAACTTCTTTCCACCTCTGATCGCCTATTGATATTCAGATGTTCTAAAGCCCGGTGAGATATTCTGGAAATATTACAATTTACCCACATATGGTATGGTTTTCTAGATACATACCAACGGAAGGTAAATAAAAGTAAAGTTTGATATTTCCAGAACGGGGGCATAAAAATATCCCACTAAAGATTTTCATGCTCTTTCTCTTTCCAGGGCAAATGTATTTTATAGACAAAAACAACAGACCCAAAGTGGAGGCACTTACAATAAGCCCCTGTAAGTCCAGAGAGAGGAAATGCTGGGGCAAAATACCTGTAAAAAACAACATCAGTCAAAGGAACAAAGTTTAAAACTTGTTCATTGCTTACAAACTGCGGTCCACAGCCTATCTCTTCTCTGCTCCAGAAGAATCAATACAAGCAAGCAAGCCAGTCCCTCTCTTTAAACTCTCAAGTTCAGACTTGCTTTCTTTTGCCCAGGTAATTGTCCATTAATATGGAGATGAACTTCTCTCCAACCCTGAGGATATGCAAATGCCCTAAAGCT